TCCTGACACCCCCCCTGAAGCAGACTCCACGTTAATGTTTGGCTAGAAAGCAAGTTTTGACTTCCTCAAAAAACGCTTGCAGCTTTGGCTTTTTCAGTCTGGTTTTCTGTAAATGTGAGGCATATGAAATCACCGTTCTCAAATAGCTTCTGAACCTGCTCTCTGGTTTCAGCCAGTTTTAACAGTGGTAAAAGTCTCTGTGATGGTTAAATATTTATGAGGGGAAAGTTAAACATGAGCCCACCAGTTGCTGAACACCTAAGACTGCCTAGGAGAGAGCCCTTCTAAATCCTAAGAGCAGGAACAGCTTTGTTGATTTTGCACCTTTTTACATACCAGAGTCCTCACAGGGCAGAAGCCTGGATTTGGGGCAATGCCAGGAAACTGCCTAGGAGAGAGCCCTTCTAAATCCTAAGAGCAGGAACAGCTTTGTTGATTTTGCACCTTTTTACATACCAGAGTCCTCACAGGGCAGAAGCCTGGATTTGGGGCAATGCCCGGAATGCCCGACATGCAAGGCATTAAGCACAGAGCCATCAGATGAAGAAACTGGCAGTGAGACCCCTTACTTTTAGTGCTCACAGAAATCCCTCTGGTCCATTTGGCTGTGAAAAAAGCAAGGCCTTCCAAGAGGTTTTGCTCCAGAACGGTCCCAGATCGTATGCTTAAAATACTTAGATGGGTGCAGAGGATCAAGTTCATGTGCACTGCTTGCTTCACACCATGGACGTGGACTGAGGTGTCCCAGGTGCAAGCTCTCCCCGCCACCCCACCTAGGAGCTCTGTCTAGCTTAGCTATCGAAAGACTCAAATTCCATTGCAACAAAAACAAAAAAACCCCCAAAAAAACAAAAAACAAAAACAAAACCAAACCTACCTTCCTACCTTTTTGAGCAGGCAGTTCCTCTTTTGTCTCATAAGTGTTCATGCAAGCTCCTGCATTGGCAGCTGCTCAGGTCCTCCAGGACAGAGGAGTGAATCAACAGCAATTAGTGGCTGGGAGCATTTCCACTCTCCCCTCCATCCTGGAAGATATGAACAGATGCTAGAAATTAAAGGTAGCAGTTCCCAAGTACCCATCATTACAGCACGACTTGCACAAACTGAAGGGAACCCTTGAAGTATTTCCCAACCCTTTTTTGTGGAGCTGCAACCAAAAACGTAGCTTTACTATGACAAGTACTGGCAATGTGACGTCATGGGCCTTTGCATTTGCTGTCCTAACATTTTTCAGGTTAAAGCAACCTTGCCCGTGTGACTTCTTTTTTTCTAGCCTGTCTTGGGCCCTCTGAATCAAACCAGTTTCTTTCTTCAATCATTACTGATAATGAAGGTTCTGCTCCCAGTAAGGCCTTCACAGATCAACAGCCCTTCAGACATATAAATGATTTGGGGGGGTTCCAAACCTTATAAGCATTTAGGTAGGTCTTATTGATGATCCACAAGGAACAGCAGAATCCAGCAACTCTTAGAGATTTATTAACTCTCAAGTACCTTCTTAAGAACTAGGAATAGTCCTCTCCCAAAATGAAATGTTATTGCCCTCCAGGCTGCCAGATTTTTTTCTGAACACCCACTGAGCCCAGCATCACTGGTCACAGTTTCACAGCAGAACAGAATTACACTTCAACACTCAAATACAGCAGTGCTGCTCAACCTCAGCAGCTCCACACCGAGGAAGAACTGAGATCTGCCTGTTCCTTCTTTGTCTAGAAAATAACCTTCTGCTGATCTATTTATTAAACACGTTTTTCTTTTGGCTTTCTTTCAGGAGCCCCCAAGGGATGCATTTGTTACCGTGAGCACCACGAATCCTGCTGTCCCCCAGACCGCTGAAGGCGTGTGTCTCCTGGGCCCCCCTGGCTCTCCTGCCCCTGGAAACTCCTGCTGCACCAGCGGTCACGCTCCTTGCAGGGACGGGAGCCCCAGCATGGCGCCGTGCGAGGTGGGAGGGAGCCTCCAAGAGGTTTCTGTGGTAACCGAGACTGATGGTGACCATTTCCCGCCAGTTCCCACGGAAGACGAATACATGGATAAGGATCTCAATACCACTGATTATTTATCTTTACTGAGTTGGACTGCCAGTAAAACCGTGTCGTCGTTTTCAGAACCAATGGAGGCAGGGGAGAACGACAGCCTAAATCAGTACTTTTCAGGGATTGGGAGCACAGAGGACGTATCAGTCTCTCAAGGCTCTCACCCTTCTGCCAACACAGATGGGGCACACGTTGCCACGGACAAACTTCTTCAGAAATCTTGCCAGCGTGCCCACAGTTGCCTGAAGGAAACAGGCAACAAAGACACAGATCGTTTTGCAACAAACTATGACTCAGAGAAGATCTGTGTGAGGTGTGGCATTTCGTACAGGGAATCTGCCAGAAAGTGGAGCAGACCCTGTTGTGCTGCGGCTGACAGTGCCTCCACCTCCCCAGAAACTGGATCCTATGCACAGTGCACCTGTGGCTTGAATTTTCTCTCTGCTGGTCAGAGCACTCTAGCAAGTGATCATGGTATGGAAGATGCATCTTTGGACAGTAACAACATGAAGTACCAGAACACAAACAGAAGCACTTCAGGGACAAACAGCAGCACTTCAGACCTCCCTCCAGCATCTGGTAAGCCCATTAGGCTTGACCCATACACAGTCGTATAGGATTATTCTCTGTGCTAGCTCAGTATTATTCAGAGGGTCTGATTTAGGAGGAGGAGAGAAGAATAAAATGATGCCTTTTCAGTTAATTGCCCTGACGCTAATCTGAAAGACAAAAATGAAAGAGCATGGCCATTTGGTTTGTAGCGAATTCTGCAAATAGGATGAGCACTGTGAGGGACCATTGTCCTGCCCTGATCTAACCAGCAACGCAGAACCCATCTTCTGGCTGTCACTGCAAAGGCCAGGCAATTCTGCTACTGAAGTATTTTGGCGGTAGCAAGTGTGTGTATTGGAGAAAACTTAGAAGGAGGAGAGTATAGGGACGTAGAGGCTGAGTCAAGAAAGGAGCGTAATGCTCAGACAGACGATTTTCCATTCAACAGTCTGCACGCACATTTTTGCCATTAGGTTTAAGTCCAGTTACATTTATACGGTGGTCAGTGAAACTGCAGCTGGAGCTGTAACCTGGTGGCCACGACTGGGTCTAAGAGGTTATGTTCAATTTTCTGCTTTTAGCTCTTTCTCTGTGTTTTAATTTGCTAGGATGTAAGTGTTCACCTAAAAATAATTTCATACAGACATTTTTTCTCCATACACAAGCGCGCTGTCCCCTAAACAACTCTGAAACGCTGTCGCCAATTTACTAATTGACTACCAATTTACTAATTGAGTAAATATATCCAAATTGTCAAATGAAAGCAGGGAAAAAATCACTGAAGCAAAACTAGCAGAAGGGAAGTTATGAGTCTTTTCTGGATAAAACCTTCCTCCCTCAGACTTTTTTTCAGTATGAAAGTCTGCAATCTGCCTGTCATGTGTTATTAGTCATTTTAGATTATAATCTCTTAAAGTCAGATGCTCTATTTTTATTTATGTCAATGCACTGCCAAGCGTAATGAGACCTTAGTTTTGACTGGGACATTTAAGTATTACTGTAATACACACAGCAGTCGTAAGCAGTTGCCCTTCTTTAAAACTATGTCGTGCCTTAACGTTTCTTACAGAGACATTCTTGTCAGCCTGCCAAAGCCCTAAAGCAACACTTTTGAAGGCCCTTCCCTTCTCAAAATGCACGCCATGAGGGAATCTGAAAGTGCACAGTGTTCATCTTTCTAAGAGCAGATACTCTTTCTGCTGTTTCAGTTTCCTGAAATCTTGACACAGTTTCACTGCCTGGTCTGTACAAAATTCAGCAGTAGTAAAGAGAACACAGATTATCTTTTTGTTGTTGTTGTTGGAAGGTGACTCTGAGGTACAACGGAAAGTCAAGTCGTATTTGGCACTGCAGAAGTACTGCTTTTCTTTCTAAATCTGACACAAAGAGGAAGAGAAAATATTAAGAAACAATAGGGCAAATAGGAGAGCTTGGATTTAAGCGATGTGCTAGAAAGTGCCATCTTAGATCTGCAGCACAGTTCTTTATATGGGATTTTAATTGCGTCTGTGCCTTTGGGTATGTACATGCTATAGTGCCATCTGGTGAAAGCTGAGCACAGATACAGCGTTCCTAATTTGCCATTTTTAGGCAGGGCTGCCAGCAGGTACTGACTGAGCTGTGGGCAGCATGAGAGTGTGGGTTAGTTAATCTGTAGGTAATGTGACTTGCTGGCAGAGGTTTTTCTCTGTCCACAGAATGGCCGTGCCCCACTGGTGACAGCTGGTGGCATGAGGAGCAAGCCAGGGCTTAGCCATAGCTTCCACACTGAAGCGCCCCGTCCGCACTGGGGCTGCAAGTGGAGCTGCAATGGCATCGGTCGTTTTGCTGGGCCACGTGAAACGCTCAGATGGAATAAAGGTGTACGTGAAATAACTTTCTGTAAAGCTTGTCAGAGCAACTGAAGCCACCAGGCGTTGCACGCAGTCATGCTAAGAGAGAAAGGTACAAAAGAGTGTGGACAAAAATATGGGAAGAAAAAGGCCGTGGGTGATTCTATCCAGTTTTGGGTTTAGTTCCCTAGCACTCAAAATGACAACAGAAATTGCAAACTCTGTCCCTCCGGTAAAGCAACCCTAGAGGTTGAATAAACCTCTGGACAGGTGCCACATACCGGGGTCACCACCAGAGATGGAGGTAAGCCTTCAAGTGCTCTTTCAAATCCCCCAAGCCTGGAGGCAGTCAGAACATGAAGCATTGGTTCGTGACCACCTCGAGTCATGTGTAGGACTATAGCATAAAGCATGAGTGCAGGAAGGCTTAGGTGACTCATGGTTAGGAATGGTTTTGCAGAGCCTTTCACTTCCAGATCCCAAACCAGCCCGCTTCGGCAGCAACAAACAGTTCTTACCACCTAGAGGCCGTTAGAAGGCTCAAAGAAAATTAATCACCTGCATTGTTCCAATTCTCAGTGAATAATTACCACAAAAATTGATCTGTCATTGTAATTAATATCATCAGGTAGTCTGAAGAGATCAAAAGGCTGAAACATTGCAGAGAATGATGCCTTCACTTATCCTCTGAAGGTGTCCCTTATACTTTCCAGGTTGGAAGTACATCTCTTAGTGCAGTCCAGGAAGCTCTTGTGTCCGTTTTCTGTGCTTTTGGGCCTCAAATATCCTTTTGTTTCAGCACGATGTCTTCAGAAGCAGTGAAGATTTGCCAGCCGCATTCAACTAAATATTATAAATGTGTTATCTGCTTTTTTCCTCCCCACTGTCACATATATTTCTAAATTCTTGTTCTCGTACTGAGCACTGGTAAACTTTTCCACAGTACAGTTTGCGAGTAACGGGCAATCTGTATAAAGGCAAACAGTTATTTTTATACCCCCGTTATGCCTAACAGTTGTGTTGATGGCAAACAGCTGAACCGAATTGAACACAGGGGAAGCAACCGGCAGGGAAAAAACTCCTGCAGAGAAAACTCTTATTGACACCTCATGTTAATCAACAACACTTGAAAAGAAAGCAAAGAGCTAGCAATGCAGTGGTTTCAGTAAAATAAATAGGATTGCTTGAGGGGGGCTATTAGAGAGATGTTCAAGTGCTACCCAGACTCGGTTATAAACAGGCACAGGTCCTCACTCAGCACAGCTGGAGCCCAGTGTCTATTGCTGATGTGCAAACATCACCCGTGGCTGCCAGAAAAACAGCATTTCTCTGGGCTGGGCCATGCTTAGCTGCAATGAAAATGGGAACATCTCAAGTGTTCAGGAACGGAATGAGGAAAGGCACAAAATGTCTAAAAGGTGTTGGATCAGTCCGCAAGTAATGATTAAGTGAAGCACAGCAGGAAAAAGATTTCTTAGGAAGAGTGTTCATAGGCTAGGAAGATTTCTTTTTTGTTTGTTTTTTTTTTTACCTGGTTGCTTTGGTTTGTTTAATTTTCAAACTTTAACAAGTTTGTTAGTTTGTTGTTGAAAGCTTGTTCTCAGTTATTTTCTTTCTGCTCTGAGGGAAGTTTATTAATTCCCAGAGCCTGGTCCTGCTGTCACTTGAGTCAGTGACCCAGTCCTTGAATGGCAGAAAGATTGAATTTATACTGAAAAATCTCTAACCGCAGGTAGACTGACTGAAACCATAACTGCATTAGGTTGCTATAATATAGACTCTATCTCTTCACTGGAGTCAGCGTGTATCCAGGTAAATCCATGAGGGCACTAGGTGAGTACCAGAGCGTACTTACATGGAGGATCAGGACAATGTAAGATAATCGTATAAGCTCCGTGTCATTTGGACGCTCTGTGACTGTATGGTCTGACGTTAAGTCTTTCAGTATTTATTCAATAAGCCTGCTACCTGGCCCACACAGTAGGACTGATTGTTTACCAAAGGGGAAAAAAAACCCAATGTGATGCCTGGGACTCTAAAAAAAAAATTCATAATTAGAAATAATGACCATTTCCTCACAAACCACGGGCAGAGGCAGTTTGGACGCAGCTTGTGCCTCAGGCAGCACGGGGAGCATGAGATGGTCGCGCTCTCTCTTGCTTCCCAGAGCACGACTGAGAGAGAAAATGTTTCCAAGCCTTCCAGACAGGCTCCCTGTGGATGACAGGCTTCATCCTGAGGAGGCAAAAATGGAAATAATGAAAAGGTCCAGTGGAAGGCATTGATTTTAAGAGCATCCTCGTGTCATGGGGAAAAAATAATGGAACAAGAGTAAAGCCACCACAGCGGATTAAGTTCGCTGCGCTAAACATCCATCTCGTGAGGGGAAAATATTAATCACATGGGTCTTCTTTTCTTCCCCCTCCTTCCCCAGGAAATGTGACTGGAAACAGTAACTCCACCTTTATCTCAAGCGGACAAGTAATGAATTTCAAGGGCGACATCATTGTTGTCTACCTTAGCCAAAACTCCCAGGAGGGGGCAACGGCCTCGGGGCCGAGCGAGGAGAACGTGGGCAGCCCCGTGCAGGAGGAAAACCTCAGCCGCTGCGAGACTTTTGCCGGCAACTCCCAGCACTACAAGGAGAAGTGTGCCGAGCTGCAGGGTACCTGCCCGCTGGTGGGGAGCGGGGCGCCATGGCGGACTACCAGACCCCTGGCCCAGGAGCGGGGCCCGTCCCGCCGCGGCCAGGCCTCGCAGCCCGTGCAGGAGGAGGGGAAGCTGGGACACTTCTCGGAGAAAGTGTTGAACTGAGGTGAGCCGGTGTCCTCGCTGCGGGCCAGGGCGCCAACGGGCAGCCCACGAGAGGGTGTGGTGCTGCCGCAGGGCTGCTGAAATCCTGGGTGTCGCGACAGATTCGGAGACTGTTGCTGCCCCTGGTGTCTCCTCGGAAATTTCACAGCTGGAAAGGACCCTTGTGGCACACGTGCCGGTGGTGGTGGTGCTCTCACTGAGGAGGTTACCCGTGGGGACAGGTGCATGCGTGAAGCCGGGCGTGCTGCCCCATTGCAGCAGCAGTGGCAGGGCGCTCTCCTGTCCCTTGTGGGGCGGCGGGCTCCCCGCCTGCCCCCTGCTCCCTGGCACCTCTCCCTCGCAAGCAGCAAAGGAGAGCTGAGGAGATCCTTCGGGCCGGGGACTTTGTGAGGAGGAGAGCAGTGCTGCTGGCCGGGCGCGCGGGGCGCTCCCGGAGAGGGGACGACATGGCGGAGGACGGCACTGAAAGAGGCCACTGAGCTCCGCCTTGGGGTTTTCTTTTTGCAACTGAGTTGCACCCATTTTGCTGGGTCTTGGGCCTCCTCGATGCCTCTGGTGGTGGAAGAAAGTGGCAGCCATGTCTGCTGCTGAGCCTAGTGCCACTGCTGACCTTCACCGCCCCATGGGGAACCAGGCAGGTGGCGTCAGCCTTTCCCATCTTTCCCCAAGGGATCAGACGCTCCAGTCTCAAACCAGCGCCAGAGCCAAGATCCTGGTCTGTCCCTTATTAACTTGTGGGTATGAATAGGTGTAACGCTGCCCCAAGTGCACAACAACAGGCAAAATAGTGCTGATATGCCTTACAAGCATATCAGATTAATCCTGAGCAAAGAGCATTTATAGTTTTGGACCCTGATTCACCTCTGCCTTATTGCACCTCACCAGAGGAATTCAAACCCCTGAAGATGAGAGTGATGTGTGCCTGGCATGCTGCTGCATGAATAACGTCACTGAGGTTTAAGACACAGAGCTGCTAGCAGGTGGAGGAAGGGTCTACAATAACCAGCCGTGGACATTTCCTGAGTGACAGGAGACGGAGGGATTACCCAAAGAAGGAGAATTGGGTCAGGGTCAAACACATGTTCCTTCGTCTGCCCAAACAGTTTTGTCATTCCCTCTGGTATTTTCATTAGTAAGCAGAGCTTTACTTAGGTAGCGTGAAGCTATTTCCAGAGCTCAGCCTATCTGAGCTGAAATCAGAGTGTAGCCACTGTCACACTGAGAGCTGATAAGCAATGGGTCCAAAGGGTTGGATTTAAAGAATAGTAGTTGTAGTTAGAAGTCTCAGCTACTCAGTTGGCTTTGGTTCAGGTCCTGTATCCTGCAGCCTCTTCCAGCAGCCACTGTGGAGAGAGAGGTTAAGGGAACAGAAACTCAAGGAACTCCTCAGAGGAAAAGATAACATTTTTAATGATTTCCTGACAAGGGGTAATTTTCTGACATTCTCCTGTGCATGTGAGCACTGCAGGAGGCTATCTTCAGTCTGAGCCTTCCGGAAGGTCAGTGCTGTGTTTCCTGTCAGACAGCAAAGGGATCTCTTATCCAGTGTGATCTCATCTGCCCTGACAAAAAAGATCTTTGGTAAGGAGGGCTCTTCTCCGGGGAGGTTTTTAAAGGCGAGGGGTTCACTGCGTAGCTGCTCTGTTTGCAATAGTACTGCTCTGCGGGTGAAGAGCACCTGTAAAGCTGACAAAGTGATGAAGCTCATGTTGAGCTTCTTATCTGTAAAACAAAAGGATGGGCTTAGTCACCTTTACCTCTCAGGAGAACAATTCTGCATTATTTACATACCTGGCATATAAAGTTCAGCACAGACATGCAAGACTCTCTCTTGGGTGGCTGGCAAAAACGGTGCATGAACAGCCAGTCTCCCTTTCACCTCTGCATGGCCTTCAGAAAACTAGACCATCCTAGCCTAGACTCGTCCAGGCAGGTAGGTTGTCCCATTCAGTGATGGCCAAGCTACCTCTGCTTCTTTGAAGGTGTGTAACTGAGGCTCTCTCTTATCTGTGGTATTCTTTTGTCTTTCCTGCTGGATCCTTTAACAACCTCTTTCTAGCCTCTTCTGGCCTAGTTCTGTATCCCCTAGGCATTGGTGCAATAGGGACAAGGAAAGAGAGCTGCCATCATGTTCATGCAAGGTCCTGCAGGTATTTTCCCACTTCATCTTTTGAGTCATATTTTCCTGGAAAGCATTCAACCAGCCCCAATTACAGGCCAGGAGGGACAGAATTCTTGTGCTCGGCTCTGGGTAAGCTACCTGTCTGCGGGTCTGTCTCCTCCTTCTTCTCCCTCTGCAGCTTCTTTCTTCCCATGGTTTGTATCTGCCACCAGAGAGCAGGCTCAAAATCCTGATTTCAGAGAAGACAATGGGAAGTTTACGACAAGTCCTCAGTGAGGACACGTTTTTCACTCACTGAATCACAGGATCCTACTGAGCAAGGATTGAAACTAGGATCATCATCAAGCGTGAAGAAATGGGTCATAATGATCTCAGCACTATGGCTGCTCCCTTATGGGAAATGTGATGCGCCAACAGATCCTATTCTTCTTCCTCCAGAGTCTACCCAAAAGTGAAGAAACCATATCATACTCACCAGCATACTGCACGTTCCCTGGGTCTCTGCCTGGCTGCTTAGACATGGGCCCCAAAGGGACTTCTTTATCCTCATGATTTCATTTGTCATCAGTTTGGAGGTGGGGCTGTTTTTCAACATCTGTTTGTACAAGGGAGCCCTATGCATCGGGCACTAATTTGGAGGCTTCTGGCTGCTATTGTAATACACACAATTAATGATAATAAAAATCTTAAAGATCTACTTGAGTGAAGATTTCATACAAATTAATGAAGAGAATCAACTACACTATTATATGCCCATGCTCATTTTGACAAAAAAAAAAAAATCAACTGTGAGTATAAAAACATTCCTGATTAGGCTTTTGTAATGTTTTTTGTATGTAGAATTGTTTTAACAAAAAGCGCTTCCCTTCCCCAGTATGTGCCACAACAACGCACAAGTGCATCTGTGCGTGGAACCGAACAGGAGCTCTCATAGATCTGGGGTGGTAACACTTTACTGCTGAGAACTGGGCACTCATTCCAGCTCATTCCTGAAGTCTCCTCCTGCACAGCATGCGTTTTTACAAGTCTTTCAGTCTGAGGAGTCACAGCATGCGTTATCCACAATGAATATACTAGGTGCTCTTGAAACGCAGCCACTTCAGGCCTGGAAGGGCAGCAGTAGTTCTGCATATAACCATGGGAAAATGAGGAGCAGTCTTTTGCTCAAGGGCACTGGAGCAGCCCTTCTTATCCCCGTGGAAAACGAGATCAATATAGACAATACCTGCTGTTAATCTGTGTACTTTGCTACATGTTCACACAGAGATTGGAAATCTCTCTGCAAGGCTTACAGCATACCTGGCAGTAGCAGCACTAAAATGTCGTAATTTCTACTTGTCTATTCAGGTTCCCTTCCTTTTATCATAGTGATGGCATCTCAGCAACTACACCCCTGTGTCTATTATAAAACAGAACCCTTCTGAAGGATGTCTTTGTGCTAATCAGGTATTTAATAGAGCTATAGTTTCATCAGATACCTCCAATCAAATTAGGTAGTAGTGCCCCCTCACCACCACCCTTAAAAGCCATCTACAATGATTGGTGAATTCACTTCTGCCAGCACATGATACTGGACATGGTAAAATGGCTGCAAATTCTTCATGTGGAAAAGTTATTTATGGAGTGTGTAATCTATATTATTAATAGACATTTAAATAATAGTCACTGGAAAATTGAAGTGTATTTGACCAAGTTGTCTTAGGTTTCTTGCAAGGAATGCTGAACTCGCTCCAAACCCTATAAGCTAGTTTTCCAAACCTCCTTCCAAATGGCTGTTGCCCTTTTCAGTCCATCAGGGATACTCCTGACCCAAAAGGCACGTGCTAGGGCAACCTCCCCACAGCCTGCCCAGGGCGCTGCTTTGCAGCGCTCTTGCTCGGAGACGCGGGCACCACAGAGCTCTGCCTGGCAGAATTTGGTCTATGAGGATTCCCACCCCCTGCCCCCCCAAGATGCTAAATGCCCACGGTTCACATTCACCTTGGCTGAGCTGCAGTGGCATCTCCGGAAAAATCAAACTGGTCATCTTGTGCCAGTCGCAGTCACTGCTGAAGCAAGGGGCATACGATCTCAGGTACTGATGGGAATGAGTCCCATTTCAGGCCAAAAGATTGTCATGAAATATGTTTCTCCTCTCCTCCTCTTGCCTGGTGCTGTCCTAATTTCCAGAATGAAGAGTGAATTGTTGCTATACAATAAATGATTTCTCCCAGAGCTCTGCCATAGAAGTTTACTCTGCCTTTGTGCTGCGGTATCAATCACCTTCTTGAGCGGGAAGGTTGAAGCAGAAAACAAAACACATACCAACAGCTCCTTAACATCCCAGTTTATTTAACCCGATTCCACGGTAAAAGGCACTACTTTGTGTATGATCGCTGAGTTCCCGTTAGCAAGATATTGTACGGGGGAAATCAAAAAGCAGCACTCCTCCCCCCAAATCCAGAGGAGGAACTGCTGTTGCTTAAGTGGTGTTTCTGATGGCACATGGTATCCTTACCTGAGGAGATGGTGCAGCAGAAATTCTTCTCTTCTTCCTTTTTTCCTGTTCTTGTAGGGTTTTTTATACCTTCTTATTTCCTTCACACTCTCACCATGTATGGGATGATTTACCCGAGCTGAACATATGTTATTTTCAGTCTTTGTTATGCCTTCAAACCTATTCTACCCAACAATCGAGGCTGCACTCCTCAATGGGCAATGTGCAGTTTTTGCACGTACCTTCAAAGGCCTCTGCTGTCACCCAGGGTTCGTACCCTGGGGGGTCCCCACGAGGGTCCCCTCCCTTGACAGACACTAGCAGATACCTGTGTTTCCCATTGCACTCACTTCAGTAAGTCTGGCTGCCTGGTTTTGCTTTCTGCAAGGCGTCAAAGCTGGT